CCAAATACTACTGCAATCTTTTTCATGTATACTGATGGAAATAAATAAGGGAACATTTAGTTTAAGACAGTAAAATGATATGCTATCGTGGGTTCCCAGCCTCGTCTACGAAATAAGCCTTGGAAACAATGCACACAAACACACCTCAACAATTGATTCTCACATGAGTTGAATTTGTACGCACGCTATTTCAAATGTACTGACAGTAAAGCTTACTTTCCAATATTTATCAATGTTCCCTTACTTGTTTCCATCAGTATACATAACTGAGATTCATGGCTTCACGGTTATCAAAGTTATATCAGAAAAATGTTTCTCCTCTGAAAACACTACCATTTCTACAGAGCCAACTCCTTTGAGAAAAAGGGAGACAACTGTGTTCAAGGGAGGTAATTTCCAAATGTTGTTTTCAGACTGATAGAAAATTATGTTGTTTTGCCGCCCATTCAAACACCAACAATAATCTCAATTCTTATTATGACATCACAGACATTGAAGACGGCTTCTTGTCCGTGAAGAAGCTGCGTAGGACGGCCACCTGTCCGACTCCTATAAGGAGAATAATGACAGCCTGTCCCACAGACCAATAGGAGACTCGATCGTTCAGAGACTCGGCGTACAGGCGACCTGTGGCTTCACGCAGCTTGAAGTGGTTCTGTTCGTTACTGATATATTTGAGAGACTCGTGGATAGAGTAAGCTGATGATTCCATCTAGAAGAAGAGAGTCCATGGCTTTAGTAGCTGTACATTTAGACCACAACACCCTCACCATATCATGCATGCTAGAACTATGGCAACTTGACAGATTAGTTTTACATCTCACTATCAGAATAATTCAACAGGGTTGCAGACAGACATTGTCTTGATTATCTCTAATCACTCTCCTTTGATATTTTGGATATTGAAATGTTTTGCACAATGGCTTTTGACAGGTTCTCAAGTCGGGTACTGGACACAAGTCCTTTTTAAAGGATTTGACTACCTAAGTAAGGGAGACAACTCTAATGGCAATTTGTTGACAAGGACAGCTTTAGCAAAACCCTTAAAAATGGCAAATTTCAACTAGTCCATATAATACCTCTTAACTATTGGGCAGTATGGCAAGGACTACAGGACTAGTGCCAATTTCTAACGCTGCTGAGAAATGCCTATCAGACAATTCAGTTCTCAATACTTCAGTTTTTAACAAATTGGAACTGAATAAAACTGACAATACATGTAAACATGAGGAAGAGAATATATGGATGTCAACTTCTTTATTATGAGGAACACAACGTTTCGGAGTATATGTTTACTCTTTCATCAGGTGAATGAATGCCATGAGGCAGAGAGCATATATATGTACATGTAAGGACAACAAATTTAATAAGGTAACAAAAGGCTGAAACTAACAAAGGGTACAAGCTAACAAAGGAAGCCAACAGATTATTGGCACTGATAGGTGATTAGCAATAGACAATGGAAGCCAACACTTAAGTAATCATAGCCTCATGGCATTCATTCACCTGATGGAGTAAGCATATACTTCGAAATGTTGTGTTCCTCATAATAAAGAAGTCGACATCCATATATTCTCTTCCTTATGTGAATCACTTCTAAATGCCTTTCAAAGACAAGTAAACATGGTGAGTGAGTGAGTGAGTTGGGTTTAACGCCGCTTTTAACAGTGTTCCAGTTATATCACGGCGTGTCAGCTGAATGTGGGAGGAAAGCCCGAAGTGATGCGGGTCTCAGACGTTTACCACTTCGGTGAAACCCACGAGCACGGGTATGGTGCTGACAAACCTAGAAACATAATCGGGGCGAACCGGGATTCGGACCCACAATCACAGGTTTCTGGCATGCCCAAGGGACGTAACTCTGCATAGCGAATCGCGGCGCCTTAGACGACTGGGCCACCCGTGCCCCCACAAGTAAACATGGTATACAGGTTTGTCTCTTCAAGCAGTACCAGCTACAAACTCGGAGTACACCTGAAATAAACTGTTAACCTGGAACAGTGACTTGCTTTCTCACAAACTCTAGTTACCGAGTCTAACATGATCCATCATCTCATTAAAATCAGGTCTTAGTTCTCGTTACCACTAAACAAAGATCTGAGGACATCCCATTACGGGTCATGTCAGACCAACCTTTTGTGAACTTTGACCGACCGATGGAATGGCTGACAAGAACATTCGTCACCACTCACCCCTTTCCGTAACCTGCAAGAAGACTTATCCTCCTATCGATGAATGTTATGTGCGAAGTTATGACAAACCAATCGGAATGTGCGTATGACTCCATTACTTCGCTCAAAGAATCCCTCAGGAATAATGTTTGATTTTACATGTCTTGCACGTAAAAATATACCCAAGATACATTTAAATGCGTTCAACCATACTGTATGTAGGTAAGTCATGATGTGTTTTCAAAAGCATCTGGAATATGTATTGTATATGGGGGAAATCTACGTGAATCATTACGCAACGATTATTTCACAATTATTTTACCTATGCCCAGATGCAAAGATGGCCACAATAGGGGCAGGAGTGGCTATTCGGCTTGTCCCGGAATAACACGATTAGGACACGAATGTGACAAGAAGTCAACATTAGCCAATCTGAAGGCAGCTTTCTTGTGCTTTACAGCACTAGTTTCAAACTGGTGACTACACTTCGAAACATACTTTGACAAATTCTTCATTTAAACTTTGAAAACAGAACAAAAGAACATTCTAGAATGGCTAACAGATGGCCTTGATGGTATGGATTCAGTCAAAGCCTGCAACTGTTAGGAATACCCTGTGTTAATTTTCCGGGGTAGCATGATCAGAAACCTCATTCCGACTGTCACTTTCCTGATCTGGTAAGCAACTCTCTGATTGGTCAGGTCATTCTGTCGTGACCCGTAATGCAAGAACTGAGCGAGAACTAAGACCTGATTTGCATGAGATTGAAATGATGCACCTCTTGTTCTGTGTAACCATCTTGCACAAATCTGTTCAATATTCTAAACTGAGGGATAATCGGCAATGGAATAAGGGTTTTTTGCAAGTCTTTGCAACACATTTATTGCAAGTACCATTTAGCTGCATTACACACAAAACAAAATCCACTTTTTAGTGGTGTTTAAATAATACCAGTGTTCGAAATACCTGCCTGCCCGACCGTCTGAGACGGGTTGATTTCAACTCGGGCTGCCAGATTTTCAAATCCCCCTGCCCGACGGTCGGGTTATATTTCATATGTGAAAATATTCTAAATATTTCCCAATGATAAGCATTAATTCACATGTAAAGATGAATGATAAAATGTAACCAAAAAGACACCCCGTTAGCTTATCCTGAGAAACATATGATTATAGTGGGCAGGCAGGTTTTGGTCAGGGCTGGCAAGTATTTCAGCTAGCCAGTCCTGTGGTCTGGCTGAAATTTTGGGGAGTTTCATACCCTGATAATACAGTATTAGACTTCTTCATATGGATTTACTTCTCCATGATCTGCACAAACAGAAACACTAATATTCCCTACAGAAAGAGTCCATGAACTTAAAGAAGGAAAAAAAAAACACCAATAAATTATTCAACAAAATGTTTATAACCTTTCAAATACTTTGTACAAAATGACACAACTAATGAAAATTTTACAAATGAGGAGACAATTGCATTAGAAATAATGTTCTAAGCTTGGGAATGCTCATTCAGATCAGCCCATTCTTTGAGGAGGTCTGTTCATTTAGATCAGTCACCTCAGTGAGGGAGGTCTGTTCATTTAGATCAGTTAACTCCGTAAGATTGAAGCGAGCAAACACCTTTGATGCTGCACGGCCAAATCACTCCCTAAATCTCAATGATCTAATAAACATTGTTTGAAGTGCAGTTGAATATAATGCCAGATTTTACCAAGGCCAAATTTAATTACCGTATACGACGAATAAGCGCCCAGAGCGTTCTCAAAATTAGAAATAGTTGGCTCTTATTAGAATATTATTTTGGTGGAAAAAACAGAGTTGAAAGATAAATTTCGTGATTTATGCTGACAGCCTGAAATGTTTTATATGCCAGATATATTTTTCCAGAATTTAATTGCCCATAATTAAGGGTGCATATAACACACGAGTGCGTATTATACACGAATAAATAAGTCTTGTATACATTGATCAAATCGGAAGGGGTGCTAATTGAGATTGTTCAATAGCCAATATATTAGCAAATATCGCTGTGATCGCTTATTAGAGCGGGGCGCTCATTACATTGAATACGGCAGTTGTTTGCAGATGCCTTCTCTTTTCTACATTGCATGAAAAACATCTGCACAGAACGATACGTAATGTTTCTTGACTACAAAATCCACATCTACCTCAATTTCAAACTGTCTCAACAAGTAATTGTTTCAGTGATAAGATCAGACATCATTTCTATCCGTGTATTACTCTACACTCTAACCATACAAACTCCATTCTAGAGTGCACACCTATATACAACGTTGAACTATCCATGGCAACTCACTTGTAGCAGCGGCAACTTAACCAATCTATAAAACCATGCACAGTTTAACGTGAACACACCACTTAGATACAGTATACGGACTCCCAGCCGACCAGTCCAGTCTCATCCCCTTATCCTGCTAAATGCCGAGCGCCAGGCAGGGTAACAACAAGTACCATGTCTGAACGTCTTTTGGCATGACTCGGACAGGGAACTGAACCACCTACCTTATGCTAGTGGAATAAATTTGATCCCTTTAATTTGTGAACACAGTAGTATTAACTCCTAAATAATGGATAGTGAGGTTCAATATGCCAAATTTTAGAGGGATCAATTTTACATTAGTCCTTTAATTTGAAAACACAGGACTACCGTATTCCCCGTAATAACCGCCCAGGGCGCTCTCAAAATTAGAAATAGGGGGCTCTTATTAGAATATAATTTTGGTGAAAAAAAAACAGAGTTGAAAGATCGTAAATTTCGAGGTTTATGTACCTGAAATGATACAAAAGAAAAGTCTGTGCATATTATACACGACAGATATATTTTTCCAGAATTTAATTGCCCATAATGTAGGGTGCATATAACACATGAGTGCGTATTATACACAAATAGTAAGTCTTGTGTACATTGATCAATCGGAAGGGGTGCCAATTTGAATTGGTTACTAGCCTATATATTAGCAAATATCGCTGTGGGCGCTTATTAGAGCAGGGCGCTTATTACATCGAATACGGTATCACCTAATTATTAACCTTTGTGTTTTTATTCTTCATTTGCAATACTGTCATTTATATAGAGATATCATGAGTGACGATGGGAAGGTGGTTATACGTCATTTAGTCTCTGACCAAAATCTGCACTAACAGTAGTTGCCTCCATCACAATAATGAGTTGTCACAGAGTGAATGAAACAATCTGACCAAAATACACAACAAACATACAAACTGTCGGCTCACCCATAATACACCATTCGTATATATACTACCCACTAGATCACACCTCCAATGTGTGTGTTGTGCGGGTGCATGTGGTGGTGGAATTTTGGGGTTATATTTGTGTGTGTGTGTGTGTGTGTATAGCGGTAAATTGAGGTTCCTTCTTCCCACGATACCTATCATTTTTAATGCTCAGTATATGGGGTGATTTCAAATTGGTATTTTTATCATGTTTTTAATGTTATATACTCGCCAAATGCCTACGCTGCCCGGCAGCATGCATCCAAGATGGCTGCGTATTTATTGACTGAGTAAACATTATGTTGTACCAGCATCTTGTGTTGTTCCATTTATGAACTTCAATTCATACGTTATTGTATCAGATTGCTTCTGAATTCAAAATTTAGAATCATACAATATATCGTGATACCTATCACAATACGGCCTTGTGCATTACAAAATATTGAGATAAACTTTAAACCTGCAATACCCATCCCACATGTGAGTGTGTATGTGTGCGTGCACGCATATGCATGTGTATGCAGGTATTCGTCCATATGCATGTGTGTGTGTGTGCATGCATGCATGCCCGGGCATGCGTCCATATGCATGTGTGTGAAACACATGACAACAGATAACAGCTGACTGACCAAAGATCAGATCCAGACTGAAAAAAGGGATCTGAATGTTTCCCGACAACAAAGGGACACAACTCTGCACTGCAAGTTGTGTTCACTACCATCATCAGGTCACTCCAGCCTAGATAAGTCAGTACCCTTAGAAAGGTTTTAAATACATGTAGTAACATTAGCAGTGCTACAGAACCCATACAAAAAGTAACAAATGTTTTCAATTAAATAAAACACTTTGAAATCTTCATATGACAAAGATCCAAACTTATCCTTCAAGCTGCTGCAAGAAAACGTGTTTAATCTTTAACGGTTGGAACATTTGTATTTTGTAAAATAGTGCATATATGTATAATAAATAGCAGCAGGAACATCATTCTTAAAAGTCCAATGTAAGACGATCCGAAAGTCTTAAGGTAACCATGGCAACACCACCGTCGTATATTTCAATCAGATTGCAAAAGATGAGCGATGAAAATGTGTGAACATCCTAGCATCCATACAACATTATGTGGCCGTCGTCCCCCTGTGTTTGTCTGTAAAGAAACTCCGGAGAACAAGGATTTGTCCGATTCCGATAATAACAACAACAACCGACTCTCCGATCGACCAAAACATGACCCTTTCATTGAGGTCCTCGGCGAAAGCACGGCCCTGAGACTCTCGCAGACGGAAATGTGTTTGATAATCATCAATCGTTTTCAAGTCTTCGTGGATATTTACGGCCGAAGTTTCCATCTAGAAAAGGAAAAGAACGAAAGAGTTGTAACGACTATCACGACCAGATTCCAGCATCTTACTGGTATCTGGTGTGAGAAACGGTAATACAAGCAGAACATTAAAATAACAGCACCAAACCTCAATCACCAAAATGTCTCAACACCCACTTCCTCTAAGACAAGCAAACCTAGAAACACAGATGTGATGCACGAGGGACGATTCTGGGAAAAGATGGTGCCATGCAATCCTCGATTATCCAACATATTAATCTCTTTTCTGCTAGGACATATCTCCATTCTATTAGGACATATCAACAAGTTAATTAAATACCGTAAAGCGAAATTTTGTTAATTGCACCCTAATTCTTCAAATTTGTGATTTGATTGGGAAAAACATGCATAAAAAATTTGTAGTCCATTGGCTATAACCTCTGTCGAATATTCAAAAGTGTTTTGTGTAACATATACAACAAAAAAGAAGTAAAGGACCAGGATTCTTTCATATCACCATACTTCATCTGTCATGGCATATCAAATTAACCATAGTAAGATGAGTGAGTTGACTGAGTATGGTTTTACGCTGCTTTTAGCAATATTCCAGCAATATCACGGCGGGGGACACCAGAGTGAGTGAGTGAGTGAGTTTGGTTTTACGCTGCTTTTAGCAATATTCCAGCAATAGCACGGCGGGGGACCCCAGAAATGGGCTTCACACATTGTACACATGTCGAGAATCGAACCCGGGTCTTGAGCGTGACGAGTGAACGTCTAGTGAACCAGTAGGCCACCCGACTGCCCCCATAGTAATATGAGGTGAGGTGAAATTGGGTTTAACGTCGCGTCCAAGATTATTGCACTTATATAGCGACGTGCATGCACGTGTACGTGTGTGTGTGGCTGCTTGTACTAGTCCGGACTGATGCCGATTTATAGTGCTAGCTCACTGAGATACCATGCCGCAGTTTAACATGAATACCCCACTCAGACACAGTATACTGACTCCGAGCCGACCAGTCCTTGTTTTAGCCCCTTAATGCCAAGCGCCAGACAGGGTAACAACAAGTACAATCTTTTAACGTCTTTTTGTATGACGCGGCCCGGATCGAACCCTGGACCTTCCGCTCTCCGGGCGGACGCTCTACCACAAGACCACGGAGGCGGTCCATAGTAATATGAAAGAATCAGGTGGTCCTTAACTTCTTTTGTGTAGTATAGTGTCTGCAAAGGGTCATGTTCTACAGAGAAAGAGGTGGATCATTTTAGGCTGTACGTAATTTGGGGGAGAAAACGTTCTCTTACTCATGACCTTGACCATTTTTGATAGCTTCGTTTTGAGTCCGAATAGAATGATGGGAGGTAAAAAATAACTGAGAATTATCTCATGCGGGAAAACAATTCTGTGACATGGAGATGGTGGCGGTATACTTGGACCAAAGTTGTGCATGGTGCCTGTCAGGGGTAATATTATAGTTGGTTGGGTTGTTGTTTAAGTCCACAATCAGCAATATTCCAGCTATGTGACGGCGATCTGTAAATAATCGAGTCTGGACCAGACAAACCAGTGATTGACATCATTAGCATCGATCTGCGCAATTGGCATATGATTACATGCATCAACCAACTCAGCAAGTTTGACCACCCGATCCTGTTAGTCGCCTCTTACGACAAGCATGGGTTGCTGAAGACCTGTTCTATCCCGGATCTTCACGGGTCGCTCTCTTCATTGTCGCTCTTATTGGGTTGCTGAAGACCTATGCATAATCAGGGCAAATCTGGGATTCAAACCAATGATTAGCAGATCCTGGCCTGACTAAGGGACACAACTCTCCCCACCCATGTTATTCTCACAGCTTTCCTTGAGCATAAGTTTGTATTTTTAACAGTACATAATTCAGACGAGTGTTGAGGAAAACGAGTCCTAATTCCTGCAAAGTACTGGAATGTTTATAGGATTCTTGATACAGCCCTTCCACTGGAGTATTGACTGTTGTTGACGGGTGTCATTTCATAACATGTAGAACCCTGGGTTATTAATAACTCTTTGGGGTTTTCCACATTGCCCTGAACAAGTATAATATTTATTATTCTGGGTATAGCCCTTCCGCAGGAGCATTGACTGTTGTTGATGGGTGTCATTTCATAACATGTAGAACCCTGGGTTATTTATAACGCTTTGGGTTTTTCCACATTGCCCTGATCAAGTATTACAGGTGATCGGATAGTCATGCCTCTTCACTCCCAGGTTTTAAAGCTATTCATTTTCACACCCCCAAAATTTAAAAATTTTGAAAATTTTGAGTTAAACCCTTGGGGCTATCAGGCCAAATAATTACAGTTTCTGATAATACTGGATATGAGAATCAAATACAGTGTGAACGTGACTTGTGAAGTCCTTTATTTGAAATTCTAATAATCCTGTACTTAGAGAGAGAGGTTCTCAGCAGAAAAGAGTAATAATATTTAGAAATAAATGTTCTGAACATTAAATAATATTCTACAAATCAAAGAAATGAAATTATCAGAAATACATCATTGAACACACATGCTAGCATGCAGTTGTAACAGACACCTGTATTCTGTATAAACTATGTCCAAGTAAAATATACAACAGCATGGTGTCATTATATACAACATGATAAAAGGCCAATTAAAATATATTTCTTGATTTTCAGCATGTTCAACATGTTCAAGATTTTTAAAAAAGAACACGAGAATGGGGGAATTTTTATGTCATCATGTTCATACGGTTTGTGGATGAGAAAATCAAACCACTTAGCTCATATCATATACACTGAATCACAGGGACATGTATTTGTAATTCTCAACTTATCATGCTCAAAGATTACAGGGTACTGTACAATTTTTTTCCATGGATTTCTAACCAAACCAAAAGTCATCACATTATGTGGTAACTATGGCAACAGTAAAGAAAAGTAAATATGTCAAACTTGAACGGTGCTTTAATTTCAAAATTAAACTAAATACAGTAAACAGAGCCACAACTGGGTGGGTTTCAACCGAAAACCAAAAAATTACTTGAATTGGCCTGAGAACACAAGTAGTTAATACAGTGGACAAACAAAGCAAGCATGTTAGATTAGATTAGTGGCAGTTATTCATGCAGAGTTCACACACTAAACTAGAAGACAGTCTCACCCCACACATGCAGAAGAAGGCAGAGTGTTTTACGCAATAGGTTGGAAGGTTTGTTTTTTTCAAAATTGCAGAGTTAGCGGTTGAAATAAAAGTAAAATACCAAAAAGTGTTTGTGTTTTACAAGTGATCTCAATTGTTGGGTGTAACCATGGTAACCAGAAATAGATATGAATATGCTTTCTGAAAACCACAGAGGATTTTTCGGTTCCATTAGCATAGTTGTGGTTAACAGATTCTACATGGACCAAACCAAGTTCTCAGAGTTTTAAATAATTCCAAATTTATCAAGTATCTGGTCAACAATTGGTAACCATGGTAACTAGGTAATGCTTGCAATCTTAAGTAAGGGACATGTGGGCATGCTTGGGGGTACTGTTGCCAATGCATTGATTTGTTTACTTGACTGTTTGTTCTATAACGCTGCACTCAGCAATATTCCAGCTATTTGACGGCGGTCTGTAAATAATCGAGTCTGGACCAGACAATCCAGTGATTGACATCATGCGCACAATTCCACGCAAGTGGGATACGATGACATGCATTAACCAAGTCAGCGAGTGTGACCACCCGATCCCGTTAGTCACCTCTTACGACAAGCATGGTCACCTTTTACGGCAAGCATGGGTTGCTGAAGACCAATTCTACCCCTTCATGGGTCACGTATGTATTCACCCAAGGAGGAAGGTACCAGTATAAACCTGGGATGTATTGACGAAGACAGATGGTGAACACAGTGATGAAGCCAGCACCAGGCAAGCAGAGATGAACAAGAGTTTGGTGAAGCATCCATGTTTGATTGATGAAGAGAAAGGAGGGTAAGGGGAGATAACTTCATGCCATTTTCAAAGTTTCACCCATATTTTCAGATGCTGTTGTTACGAATAGGGCTGGGACGATACACCAACTGTGCGATCCGTAATATTGTTCACGATCCGATATGTATCACGATACTTGCACGTGCTCTTGCCTGTGGTGTGTAAGCCATCTTTTTCATAGACAGGGTAGTCAAATACCTGGCACACTGATGATTTACAGTTGGCAGTGTCTAGTATGGCACAATGGATGAAAATAGTTACTTTTTCACAACTAATTTTCACTACTAATTTGTGTTTTGTATGTATCAAAAAAAAATTCAGTGTGCCACTGAGATCGATACTTGTATCGGGAAGTTAAATATCACGATCCACCGATAAAAATTTTGTTTTTAGTGTGCCACTGTGATCGATACTTGCATCGGGAAGTTAAATATCACGATCCACCGATACAAATTTTGTTTTTAGTGTGCCACTGTGATCGATACTTGTATCGGGAAGTTAAATATCACGATCCACCAATACAAATTTTGTTTTTAGTGTGCCACTGTGATCGATACTTGTATCGGGAAGTTAAATATCACGATCCACCGATAAAAATTTTGTTTTTAGTGTGCCACTGTGATCGATACTTGTATCGGGAAGTTAAATATCACGATCCACCGATACAAATTTTGTTTTTAGTGTGCCACTGTGATCGATACTTGTATCGGGAAGTTAAACATCACGATCCACCGATGTATCGTCCCACCACCAGTTACTGTTGTCACAAGGAACCCTTGACTTAATGTCAAACACTGCAAGACAAAATACTGGGAGATATCCACGATAATCAAATAATTAGCCCTAGTGCATAGCAGTAGAGGTGTAACGATACAGTGGGGTTGAGTTACGATACATATCCCAATACTATGTGTGCGTTACGATACGTATCCCAATACTATGTGTGCGATATGATTCTCATCTCAATACATTATTTCTTTTTGTAGGTGAATCACAACCCTGAATTATTTGATATCAGTTTCAGAGATGGAAGATGAGATAATGTAGGGCACAAACATATAGAGTAGAATCCACTGTAAAATGTCATCTATAGCCAACTGGGAAATACTCGAGAATCAGTGTAATGAAATGTATCATATGTATCATGATACAGGGGTTGTAAATTGACTTATCATACATACCTCCATCATTCGTGACCAACTCGTGTTATTCCGGGACAAGCCGAATAGCGACTCGTGCCCCTCTCATGGCCATTTTTGCGACCGAGTTCCGTCTTAGCGCAAACGGGCATACCCAAAACAATTGTCAGCTCGTTCCATAATGGTTCATATATTATTTCCCCATAGATTATATATATTTCAGATGCAATTTAAAGCACATTGGGACGTTCGGAATTATTGAACACATTTAACTCTATCTTGGGTATATTTTAGATACAAGACATATGTAAAATCAAAAATTATTTCCGAGGGATTCTTTGTCGAAGAACTTAAAATCATACACGCATTCTGATTGGTTTGTCGTATTTTCGCACATAACATTCATCGATAGGGGGACGAGTCTTCTTGAAGCTTATGGAAAGGGGCGAGTGGTGATGAATGATACCTCCATGTCAGAATGAAGAGATCTGATTGGCCCATGTGATCTTGATAAAATACTGTGTAACCCGCCTTGGAGAGTAATACATTTCTTAGTGGGGAAAATAATCTCTTATACCCCGCCACGAGCAATGAAGGATATATGAGAGGCCGAATAAATCCCTTATACCCTGCTTCAATGCAAAAAGTCACACGCTTTTCCAAAGTCAATGGAAGTCATCTGACACAGCGCAAGTTAACCTCAGCTCAATCAAACAGCTGTTGGCTATCAATTTTAATTTGTGTTAATTCTTTTACAATGTCACATTAAAACATGTCGGTAAGATAAAGTCGTTGTAGCAGGAATTGCGAGAGGTTACATGGAGTTTTATGCATCCCGCGTTAGGTTTTGTGCCACGAGCCAGAGGTTCCGTGTACCCCTTGGGGTATAAAACCTAATGTGGGACGCCTTAAACCCCATGTACCCTTCATGACAACTTATAGTATTATTGACCACGTATCGTTACACCACTAATAACTAAATGTTAGTAGACACCATGCCCCACAAGCGACCAATCTATATTAATGTCCTGCCTGTATACGTAAACTAACACACTGCACGCGCATTCCTTGCTGAAGAGAATTCTGTAACACAGCCAGCCCGTTACTAAACCAGGCGGCAGATGTAACCATGGCGAAGAGCCAGTAGCCATGGCAACTAGCTGCTAAACATGCAGTTGAAAACGCCACAAAATAAATCAAGAGAGAAGTTAGGTGTAGGTAAATGGTTTATGTCACTTTACAAATCAATCCTGAAAGAAATCATTATATGTGAGTGAGTCTAAACATGCTAAAGAACCAGCCCTTTAATAATGTGGTTGGGGGGTTAGGGTGGGCAATAGTGTGAGGTGAAATTGGGTTTAACGTCGCGTCCAAGATTATTGCACTTATATAGCGACGTGCATGCACGTGTATGTGTGTGTGTGTGGCTGCCTGTACTAGTCCGGACTGATGCCGATTTATAGTGCTAGCTCACTGAGATACCATGCCGCAGTTTAACATGAATACCCCACTCAGACACAGTATACTGACTCCGAGCCGACCAGTCCTTGTTTTAGCCCCTTAATGCCGAGCGCCAGACAGGGTAACAACAAGTACAATCTTTTAACGTATTTTTGTATGACGCGGCCCGGGATCGAACCCTGGACCTTCCGCTCTCCGGGCGGACGCTCTACCACAAGACCACGGAGGCGGTCGGGTGGGCAGTGGACTTTTATTGGAGACAGAATAGTTTTTGTGTCACAGATTTTCTCTGCTGAAAGATGGGACCAAACACATTATTTTTCAGGACATCAATCTAGCTTGTCTAATAAATAATTATTGTTAGTATTTATTTATTATTCACAACATTACTTTGGGAAACAGTGCCAGTAGGGGTGTAACCATGGTAACAACCAAACAAGACAATAAAACTATTGCAACCATATTCACATAATAATTTTGTATTATTTTGTGAGAATATATTTTATGTGATGACATTGAAGACTCAGAAAATAACTCCTTTGAGAGGCCTTTGGAAGTTGGAGTACCAAGTAATGATAAGAAATATGGATGAGTGAGTGAGTGAGTTGGGTTAACGCCGCTTTTAACAGTATTCCAGTTATATCACGGAGTGTCAGCTTAATGTGGGAGGAAAGCCCGAAGTGATGCAGTTCTCAGACGTTTACTACTTTGGTGAAACCCACGAGCACAGGTATGGAGCTGACAAACCTTGAAACATAATCGGGACGAACCGGGATTCGAACCCACAATTATAGGTTTCTGGTGTGCCCAAGGGACGCAACTCTGCACAGCGAATCGCGGCGCCTAAGGCAACTGGGCCACCCGTGCCCCCCAGAAATATGGATGAACAACATCTTTATTATAATTAGGAGCGACGTTTTGGTGTAGGTTCTAACACTGTTATCAAGCAGTGTGATGTACAGAGTATGGTTGACAAGTATTTATACAGGTAGGAGGCAGTGTTTATACAGTACAGTAGATATCAGATGTAGTTACACTGGAGTGGAGAAGACTGTTATGTGCACAAAAGGGTAAAACATACTGGCTGGTGAAGTCAGTAGTATAAGCAAAAGGGTGAAGCCAGTAATATAAACAACAAAAGGATTCTGACTGATTGGATCTTTGATGAATTGATGGTACACTGGGGGTATGTAATAACCATATATCTTATCCTTACTTAGGACTCAGAAAATATTCAAATAAAGAACCTGAAAATAGGCTAGAGAGTAGACACATGTTAGACATGTTAACAATACAGTTTGTCAACAATTATTAGCAATACCGTATTTGACGTAATAAGCGCCCAGGACGCTCTCAAAATTAGAAATAGGGGCTCTTATTAGAATGTGATTTTGGTGAAAAAAAACAGAGTTGAAAGATAAATTTCATGGTTAATGCTGACAGCCTGACTGTTTATATACGACAGATATATTTTTCCAGAATTTAATTGCCCATAATTAAGGGTGCATATAACACACAAGTGCATATTAGACACGAATAAATAAGTCTTGTGTACATTGATCAATCTGAAGGGGTGCTAATTGGGATTGTTCACTAGCCAATATCTTAGCAAATGTCGCCATGGGCGCTTATTACGTTGAATACGGTATATGATATAAGCATTGAGGAAATTAACTTACCAAAGTCATGGCAGTAGCATGAGCATTCGAGTCCTCAACAATGGGCTTCTCATCCCCGACCTCGAGGTCAAAGTATACAACTTTGTGCGAGAAGGTAGAGAATTCGTTACTGAAGCAGAACTTGTAGATGCCACCAAGGTCAGGGGTCCAGGTGAAGCTGTCATACTGTTTCTTCACATCCTTGTAGAGAATCTGACCGTTGGGGGCCGTTAGCTCCATGTCCACGTCATACTGACCACCTGTGATTACCTGTATAGGAGAGTGGGTATAACATTTAGATGTAATTAACATTTATAACATTTTGTTTGTTTGTTGTTTAACGCCGCACTCAGCAATATTCCAGCTATATGACAGTGGTCTGTAAAATAATCGAGTCTGGACCAGACAATCCAGTGACTGACATCATGAGCATCGATCCACGCAATTGGTATCCAAGTCAGCGAGCCTGACCACCCGATCCCGTTAGTCGCCTTTTACGACAAGCATAGTCGCCTTTTACGGCAAGCATGGGTTGCTGAAGACCTATTCTACCCCGGAATCTTCACGGGTCACATTTATAACAAGAAAAGATATAGACATTATTTAATTACCATGATTACAGTCTACAGGTGTCACAATTGGCACACAATGATATGCATCAACCAAGTCACCGAGGCTGACCACTCTATCATGTTAGTCGCCTCTTACGACAAGCATGGTTTGCTGAAGCCCTAGTCTAACCCGAATTTTCACGGGTAGCATTTAGTCTGAGAGTTGCATGATAGTGCAGATGATAGTTGGTTGTCTTGTTTGACGTCGCACCTAGCAATGTTCAAGCCATGTGACTGCATCCTGTAAATATGGATCAGGCAATCCAGGGATTGATATCATGAGCAATGAACCACGCTGTCAGGGTACAAAGATACGCAAGCAACCCAGTCACCAAGTCTGACCATTCGATCTATTTACAGGTTTATTTGCCACTAACATGCTTATACGACCAGGTTGATGGGACCAGTTATAATAACCCAGAATCCACACCTGGCTTGTTCAGATGAGCTGAGCAAGATCATTAGCAATATCACAAGAAGCAGGTTCTCAATCATCTATTGTTAACCACACTACATTCTGGAGAATTAGTATAATCATTAATATCTTTTCCTACATGTCTGCAGCATATTGTTGTGATAATGCTGACAGTCTGGTTAACCATGTTAACCATGTTAACCATGTTAACTAGGCAAATATCATTTTGCTGCTACATGGTTATAATGATTGGACTAATCTAGTACCATGAGTCCTATCAATTATAATGTAGCAGCAAATTGATATTTGCCTAGTTAACCAGACTACAAGCATTCCCACAACAATATGCTGCAAACATGAAGGAAAAGATCTAAATGATTATACTAATTCTCCAGAATGTAGTGCGGTTAACGTGTATAGACAAGAACTGACAGCTGTTGTATAGTTGACAGCTGAGGCGAGGCTCCTTAAATGTCTCCGACTATTATCCTCTCAATCGAGATATATAATGAACGTAAGCTCTTCCTAATGTACCGACATGGGACTTCTACACCATAGTGCACCTATACCCTACCTGGAATTCTAGTGTGCTTTTCACGCCTTTGTCGATTTTTTCGAAAAAGCACTGTCGTTCGTTGTCGGGGAGCTCAAAAGTCAACTCCGTGCCTAGGACGACATTGATGAGGACGGCAACAAGAACGGATATCGTCTTGAGATATTCCATGATTCAGAAAATAATTTAAGCTTCTATTAACACGTCAGAATCTTCTTCGCTCTATCCACAACCCGGCCTGTTGATGAAAATGGCGACACTCAACGTGGCCGGAAGTTCCGCTTTACCAGGAAGTGACTTAAAATCCGGACAAACATAAATACATTTCTAAAAAAGTTCGATATCTATTGCGCTTTGAAGAAAAAGAATCCGGTTAAGGGGTTTTACATAATAATACAGTTAATAAAGCATTGATAATTTGATTTACAAAATGTCCATGTGTATTTAAACTCCATATTTCAGAAACATAACTAAACGGCTCCGTTCGGTTATGGATAAATGACGTGTTTGTTTCTCACGATCGGATTTCGGCGAATTAATAAAACTATAACTGCATCTGTAAATTACATCTACAGTTTAAATATCATTCTGATCTAATACAAACATGTGGTTATGTAAGTAGAAATGCCCGATGTGAATGCAGGCCTTTGGCGTTTAATATTTTGGTGAAACACGAGTATGGTGATAAAACAACCTAGATACATAATCGGGCGAATCGGGATTCGAACCCACAATCAGAGGTTTCTTGCATGCACAAGGGACGCAACTCTGCACAGCAAAATCGGCGCCTTAGACGACTGGGCGAACCAAGAAACAGAATCAGTGCGAACCCACAATTATAGGTTTCTGGTACACTAAAAGACGCAACTCATATCACAGCAAATTGCGGCAGCAGTGATGACTGACTGACACGTCCCCACCTTATTGGTTAATTTCATGATTCACAGTAAGTAATGGCGACATAGTAATTAGCCTTTATTCATTCTGACAAAGATAGTCACAAAGACAGTCATGGATAAAATGTACCCTTCTAGTTTATTATCACCCCTAAATTCAAAGGACACTTGGGCGGTCGGGTAGCCTAGTGGTTAAAGCGTTCGCTTGTCACGCCAACGACCCGGGTTCGATTCCCGACATGGGTACAATGTGTGAAGCCCATTTCTGGCGTCCCCCGCCGTGATATTGCTTAGAGGCGGCGTAAAACCTCACTCACTCACTCACTCACTCACACTCACTCACTCACTCACTCACTCACTCACTCTTGGTTACGGATATTCTTTACGCAGCAATGGACCACACTATCATCACGAAAATGATGAGTGATAATGTAGTTAGGGACCGTCTCCGTGGAGTAGTGGTAGAGCGTCCACCCGGAGTGCCAACCGTGTCATACCAAATTAAAGACGTTAAAAGATGGTACCCTGTCTGGCGCTCGGCATTAACGGGCTAAAACAAGGTCTGATCGTCTCGGAGTCAGTATACTATGTCTGAGTGGGGTATTCATGTTAAACTGCAGCACGGTATCTCAGTGGGCTAGCACTATAAATTCGGCATTAGTTCGGACTAGTACAAACACGCACGCACGCACGCACGCACGCACGCACGCACGCACACACACACACATTGGAGGTGTGATTTACTGGACAGTATATACGAGTGGTTTTATTATTGCAATTATCTTGGACGCGACGTTAAACCCCATTTTTTACTTCACCTCACCTTATTTTATAAAACCGGCATAGGCCCGGACGTTGACCTTGCCCTCACACATAGACCAACATGATCCTTGTAAATGGTGTGGAGATCCGTAAAGATCCGGAGTAGAATAGGTCTTCAGCAACCCATGCTTGCCGTAAGAGACGACTATGCTTGTCTTAGGAGGCGCATCGGGATCGGGTGGTCAGACTCGCTGAATGGTTGATGCATGCCATCGTATCCCGATTGCGTGGATTGATGCTCATGATGTCAATCACCGGTTTGTCTGGTCCAGATTCGATTATTTACGGACCGCCGTCATATAGCTGGAATATTGCTGAGTGAAGATTTAAAAAACAAACAGACAAACCAAAGATGGCGTGGAAGAACATAATGTTGATGAAAAGGGATTTTGGGGTTTAAACCAAGGTTCGTAATCAGGGACAATGTGGGATGCTAACCCGGCCATGACCATCGAATCCTGTAACGACGAAGGGAGGCAACTCCGAACAACAGCGAAATTGCTCTGCACTACAGAGCCTGTCTTATGCCCCCTTTCACTGTCAAAATACATGTGGCAATACATAGAGGGTTACAGCACAGAGAGGGTTAAATGTTTCCCCCCAATTAACGCGCCTATTATATGCACACATGGACATAAAACGTCCATATCTATTTCTCAAACTGGTGATGTAGTTATTGGGCTGCCATGCGACACGACGATGTAAGAAAGGCCGTGAAGCAAACAAACACTACGCAACTGTCTACTGAAAGGTTATGTAATATTTCCACTCGCTGAAATACCTCACATTACCTTCTACCATGTCTCGGGAACAAAATACGAGCTTGTACACAATAACGTGATAAAGTGTTCCGGTGTAATAAACACCCCAAGCAAAATTAAAGAACAACCGATTCTTTCATATAACCATAGTTATTTGGTCATGACCTGCCGTGTCCTGGCCAGAGAAAATGTTTAACTTTATTCAGTAGTATACAATAATTTTTGGCAAAGTAAAATTTCAAAAGCAACTTCAGACTCGGGTAAATTTGATTGACGTCTTTCAGGCACCACGTGTTGGTCTTTGTGAGCCAGTACAAACTTTGTGATGGTTAACAAGCTGTTACCATGACATCCACACGCATGCAATAGATAATGATCTACGATTTCTATTTCCCATTGTATTTATCTATTAAAAATTTAAATAAAAATATGTCTACAATAAGAAGATTCGCTCTGGCAAATCCTTTTATAATGGTACAGAATACAACTCGTGTACAACAGTCTACACTCAACCAAAGTGAAGGGACGAGAAGTTTTCAAGGGGGACAAGTCTCTAAAGGGCAACTTTCTATATGGCAGCTCTGGAAGGCACGCGTGCATGTGTGAATGTCAACTCTCATGGACACTACTCGTTGACTAGAGAAGGTGAGATTCATTGTGTTGTTAGAACAAGTACGCTTAAGTCCTTAGTGAAGATCATACTGTTTGTGGCGAATGTGTGTTTGGTCATATAGGTGATAGGACAGATGGGTAGATGGATGTGGTGTATGGTTGGTTGTACGTCTGATTGTTGTTGTGATGTCAGTGTGACGTGCTGTCATTTTACTGTTGGTAAATAGTTCCATCACACCACACACACACCCAGAGACAAACACGCACACAGACACACACAGATAGAAAGACACACACACAGAAATACAGACAGACACACACACACAAACACCGACAAACACATACACACACAGTCAAACACGCACACATACAAACAGACACACACACAGATAGACACACACAAACACAGACAAACACGCACACAGACACACACAGCTAGAAAGACACACAGAAATACAGACAGACACACACAAACACACACACACGCACACAGTCAAACACGCACACACAAACAGACACACACGCAGATAGACAGAACACACACATATACACATACTCACACCCACACAGACACACACACAGATAGACATACACACACACAAACACACACACAGAGACAAACATGCACATAGACAAACAAACAGATACACACACAGACACAGAAACAGATACACACAGATAGACAGACACAGACACACAAACAGACACACAGAGAGAAAGAACCACAAACACACACAGATAGACACATAAATATACACACACACAGATAGACACACACACACACACAGAGAAACACACACACTGATAGACAGACACACAGACACAGACAAGCACAAAATACAGATAGACAGACGCACACACACAGACACGTACACAAATAGACAGACACATACACACACAGATACACACACACACACACACACACAAATAGACAGACAGCGACACACACAGATAGACAGACACACACAGAGATAGACACACACATGTATAGACATACATAAGACAGTCACACACAGAAAGACAGACAGACACACACAGATAGACACACACAGATACACATAAGACAGACACACACACAGATAGACAGACAGACAGACACACACAAACACACACACTGAAAATGTTAACACCGACGTCTGATTCTTGTTGTGATGTCAGTGTGATAATGCTGTCGTTTTACTGTTGGTAAATAGTTCCATCACACACACACACACACACACACACACACACACACACACACACACACACACACACACACACACACACACACACACACACACACACACACACACACACACACACACACACACAGAAAGAGAGAGACAAACACGCACACAGACACACACAGGCAGAAAGACACACACAGACACACACACAGAGAAAGACACACACACAGATAGACAGACAGACAGACAGACACACACACAGACAAACACACGCACAGACACACAAACATATACACACAGAGAAACACACACACAGATAGACAGAAAGACACACACAAGCACACAGACAAACACACACAAACACAGAGACAAACACGCACACAGACACACACACTGAAATGTAGACAGATAGACACACACACACACACACACACACACACACACACACACACACACACACACAGTAGCTTTGTGTTAAGCTTTAGAGATTGCAATATTAGAAAACACATTCCGCTAACAATGTAACATAACTATATGAAACTTCGGAATTCTTTTTCCTTTTTTATTTTATTATTTATTTTTTATTTTATTTATTATTTATTGTATCGTTATCTATTATGTACTTGTTCGATTTTTGATCCCCAACGTTCATGCTACTTAATTTCGTTTATTCGACATACTCATTTATTCGACATAATCATATGCAATCAACCATGTCGGATTAACGGGACTTGACTGTTTAAGGACAAGATAGAAGGGAACATGATATGGTAGCTAGCTTGGGGACTGAGAGACGGACTACTCGAGTGTTCAGTGAGGCTTGCTGTATACCCAGCATAACAGTAGCAGCAGGGAGTCTTTAAACAGACATCATGTTTTTGTGGTTACCTATCGCCCGGATGATTCCATCTTTGTTTGTTGTTTAACGCCGCACTCAGCAATATTCCAGCTATATGACGGCGGTCTGTAAATAATCGAGTCTGGATCAGACAATCCAGTGATTGACATGATGAGCATCG